CCGTGGGCAGATTTTAGGTATGGGTCTTTCAAGTAAAAGAAAGAGTGGTGAAGTGTCGGTGGGTATTACTGTAGATGAAAAAATATTGCCAGGTTGTGAAATAACACTTAACACCACTCCGAGAAAACATGACAATTTTGATAAACCTTTTATTGTTAATGCTGGAAGTGTGATTAATTTTGTTTGCAAGACGGGTAATGCAACAACGGAGAATACAGTTGCTTCATTGTTAATTGAATTGTTTTAATTTTTTGTCTGTACTAATAAAAAATGAAACAACCGACAGCGCCGAGTTTGTATCCTGAGTTGCCTGTTGAAGATGGGCAAAATTATAGATTACAGAAAATATCAGAGATAGAGCAAACGTTAATTAAGGAAAGGGACAATAGGCAGTCATTGTATAAGAAATATAAAAGGAGTATAAATGCCACAGATGGAGTTGATACAACTCTCATTTCTGGGAGTGTGATTATGGGTGGCATTGGAATTGCAGTACCGTTTATGTTGCCATTAGAAATTGCAGCAATAGTTTGTGATGTAGCGGGGGTATGTGTCAAGTTTATTAGAAGACGACTGCATTCAAAAGCGAAGAAGCATGACGACATCAGAATGATTGCAGAGTCTAAGTTAAATAGTGTAAAAGAAATGATATCAAAGGCTCTAAATGATGGGAAAATATCAGACTCAGAATTCAAGTTTATACTGAACGAACTCCAAAGGTATAATGAGCTTAAAGACAAGACTCTAAGGATATGTTGCCTGCTTTTTAAATTTGTCTTTTGACGTCTTCTCTGTGATACGCAGGCTTCATAACCTCTGATCCCCTTTCAAAATTCCATTTTATTTAGTTCCGCCCATTGTTTTCTCGTTTAGGGCACACGTTTTTTTTTTTTACTTGGGGACCATACGCCGCTTTTCATGGAATGGCACGGAAGTGTCACATTGAAGGTTCCATGATAACCGCCGTATGAACACATCTGCGGATGTTTCTAAATTTAAAATTTTACCATTTCATGTTTAAATGTTGAATTCTGCTTAAGCCGGTGCTAGGGGGCGTGGACGGTAACTTGCACTTTCCAGTACCGTCCATGAACAGGCTCAATCAAACCGAGCCTGCAACATTTTCAATTTTGCCGTGTTGGGCTTTCTTTGGGGATTCTGTATTTATCTATGTCACTCAAATCAATCTGGGATTGATGAAACAGAAAGAATAAAGTTAATACAAGAAGGAAAGACACAAGCGTTGAGTGTCTTAAAAAAAAAGATACAAGACACATAATTTTTTTTCAATAAGATTATGATTGTAAATGATCCACCGCCGAAATATAAAGAATATTAATAAAGATAACTCATAAGACATTAATTAATTGTTGATGCACTTGTTATCTACCTGTATATGTAATCAGTACTATCTTTAAGATTTAAATCTCGCGCCATGTACGTTTGACATTATAGGTAATGATATTTTTAATCTACTGATATGGTGTATCATTAGATAAAACACGTCCATTCAACTCGTATGATTTCATAAGTGTATGAACTTTTGGATCAACAGAATGGCTGCTAAAGTGAAGGAAGTATCAAAGTTTTCAGAAGATGCTATTTTGATTGCAGTAAATAGCTTGCCAAGTGAGCAAAAAGAAGCATTTGTAACAGGATTGAACACAATCCACGAGACTCTGGGGATCAAACAACCAAAACAAAAACGTGAAAAAAGGAAAGTTACTGATGATGAGATTTTCACCCAAAAACTTCTGCCTCAAATACAAAAGAAAGTAGCAATGATCGAAGCCGGGGAAATGGATCAACAACTTGAACTGTCAACCAACTTTGACATCGACACAAGATTCGATACCTTTAGTATCTCGGATTTGAAGAAAATACACTTAAAAATAGTTGCTCATGAGGAAAATTTCAAAGATGTAACACTTCTTTTGCAATATTTTCGAGGACAATTATATCTAACCCTGAATAGAAAGATAAGAAAGGAGAATCTTCAGTGGAAGAAATTTGTGGAACAGGATATGAGTTGTTCCTATATGACGGTGCTGCGGTACATGACTCTGGCAAGCGTTATTTCCTCTTATCCGCGTCTACTCTTGTGCAGTCTTACATTTGCACAAATCCTTAAACACAGAGAACGACTTTGCAAGTTCCTTGAAAGTGAGACAGGGATTCCGTTACAAGACCAACTTTCAATGTCATTTGACATAAGCGTACAAGGAACAATAAGACACATCGGATGTAACAGCGTTCCAATGCCACCAAAACAAAAGTATGATTTTAATCCAGACTGGGAACATAAAGAGGAGACACCAAATATTAAAACAGAACAATGGATCGAGTCTGTCGGGGCTATGGGAACGGATCAGACAGACAACGAAGTTGAGGAGATGGAAAACTATATAAGGTACTTATACTTTTAAACATTCAGTCATTTAGAACGTTTTATTCTGTTCACCGCTTTGCATTGTTTAATGTATATTACTGTCATACTGTTTAATATAACTGCAGCTTTAATCTATTGTATATGACGACATACTCAAACCGGAATACATATTTGCAATTAATGAATGGGTATAACATCTTCATGTCTTTTCTTTTCAGGGATTTTAGAGTAGAAGAAGACAGTGATACGGAGGTGGAAGTTTAAATTACTTATAAAACATGTGACAATGTTAATACATGTTCATAGCTTACACTTACAATTTAAATATCCCGCCAAAAGTAACACGCGTGTGACTTTTATCATTTATCTAATTGGGAAGTGGTACTGACAGTTTATCTTAATGTAACAAGACACAGAGTGGTACATGACGAGTTGCTTTATCTGTGTAAACCAAATTTGTGAATGTGTAAAGATACCCTAGTTTAAATAAACCTACATGTATTATTAATAGTTATTTTTGCGTCGGATTTCTAAAATATATGTGTTTACACAACCTCTCGGATACTACGATATATATATATATATCGCAGTATTGTCTGAGGGATATTTCAGTTTTTGCTGTTTAAACGATTTTTTGTTGTCTGTGCTCCTTTTGGAGCCTAAAAATGAGTTATATCGTAGAACCCCCATATATCATATATATCATATAACGATAACATAAATGTTGATACGAAAGAAGGCAAAGGTAAGCATTTATCTTTAATCTTCTTATTTACGTATAAATGAATTATGTATTCTATATCATTAAAATACTGTACAAAAATGGCAAAATATATATTTAAATCAGCTGTCATAAGATTAGTTTTACTTAAGATTCACACTTAAATTAGAACAAAAGACATAAAATGTATCATGAGATAAAAAAAGAAAGTTGTCCATGATCTTGGTATAATACATAACAAAGGTTCATCAAAAAAGCCTGTTCATGGAATTATCGGGTATATTTTACAATAATTCTTACAAATGTATGTTAAAATACCTGTACAAGGAATTAGCAAAGTCCTGTATTTTACAATATGTCTTACATTAAAATAACTGTACAGGGAATTATAAAGTGCATGATTCTATTCTTGGGGTCTTGAAAAATAGTTCTTTTAAAATCACTGGTCTCCAGGAAGGATCGTAGCTATTGTTTATAACAGGATAGGAGAGAATAGTATTTATGTACACAGTAAAGATGTGTGTTCTCTCAAACATGGATATGGACGCGTTGAATATCGTTTTATCTAGATGCAGTTGTTATATTGTAAAGAATTTCAGTATTTAATTTAAATCGATAAACAACTATATATTGTACAGTTCAGCTTTCAAGAAAGATATAAACGTAGAATAGATAAAAGATAATTTATTCCAGAATGGCAGAAAGGAGCAATTTTCAATCGTTAAAAGACGGTTCTGATGCAGATTTTGAATTTACGTGTACACCTTGCAGCAAAGACAATATTAGAGAAGAGGCTGATAAGTATTGTCCCGAATGTCACGAGTATTTGTGTATGGCATGTACAAGATACCATGGCCGACTTTATGCTACACAACATCATAAACTGTTGGATAAAAATGACGCCAATCGAGTCTTACATATTGCTAGGACTAAATGCCAGTACCACGCTGACCGAGACATTGAAATGTACTGCAAAACACATGATATGGTTTATTGTACGATGTGCATTGCAACAGAACATAGGTAATGGTAATAGCAAACATAATAAACATTTCAAGTAGTATTGTTTGTAGGACCAGGTTTATTTTTGGCTGATTATGTTTCTACTACATGTATATATATGTATGAAATTTAGTATTCAGTTTTAGATCTGTGAATCGGATCAAATGTAGTCTGTAGTTTTAGCAGATTATGTTTCAACTGCCGTAGTAAATAATATTAAATTTATATTAGCTTAAATATGTATTACGTGATATTTAAATTATATATTCTAATTATACATAACCTCCGGTCTCATTATAAATTGTAGGTCTTGTGATGAAGTAAACAAGATTGAAGATGTTTCTAAAAAAAGCGTAAACCAAACGGAGATTCAAGCCCTATTAGATGAGACAAAAGCTGTACATGGCACTGTGAAGTCCCTGGCAGTAAAACGGAAAGAGAATTTAACTGCTATATACAAACAGAAAGAAACTATTGAAGGGAAACTAGATGATACAGAGACAAAACTTATAGAACATATTAGAAAATTGAAAAGAGAGACAGCAAAATGTTTAAATGATAAATATTCTACATTGAAGGAAGAACTCGTATCTTCTCTCAATGTATCAGTTATAACAGCTGACGGCTTGCAGCAAACTAAGGAGCAACTGCAAATGATTCACAGTCTGAACTTAGAGCAGCAATTTGTCAGGATGAAGTTGATGAAGAAGACAAACCAAGATGCAAACACTTTTATAACAGAAGGTGAGGCAGAAGGTACAAAATTTATTGATTTTACTGTATATAAAGAGCTGGCGGACATCATCACAAAAGCAAATTCTATAGGTGACGTGACAACTGGAATTGTCGGTGAGCAGGAATTGAAACAGAGGCAGTACAAAATAAAGTCAACGAAAGAGATCAGTGTGACGATGAGTAATGACACATGGAAATGCTTAAAATCTGATATCTGCAGACTTCCTGATGGTACAATACTTCTGACTGATTATAACAATAAGAAAGTGAAAAGACTCAACGCTTATGATACTGTAGAAAACGTCCATGATTTTGATTCTAACCCTACAGGTATATGTTTTGTTAGTAACAGTGAAGTGGCTGTGAAATTAAGCAACAATAAAATCCAACTCTTTTTCTTTGGCTCGTCTCTGTCTAAAAGTAGGACTATAGATATAAAAAACTGTCATCAGTTAGGATTAACAATGTGTTGTGGTGATCTATGGTCATCAGCCTCAAATGGTGTTAACGTATACAGTACTTCATCTTATCTTGTTAAATCTATCGACAAGGATCAAAACGGGAAGTCTATATTTAAATCCACAGTTCAGCATATGGCAGTCACTGCTGACACAGTGATCGTGACAGATAGCTCTGATGGAGCTGTTTGTCTTAACAAAGATGGTACGGTCATCAGAGAGTTGAGAGACAGTAGATTGAAGTGTACCGTAGGTGTGTGTGTAGCTGATGACGGAACGGTATTCTTATGTGGATATCAATCGAACAACATCGTTTTGTTCAACAGGGATGGTAATTGTCTCGAAGATGTGATTGGGAAAGATTTTGGCTTGAAAGCACCAGCCTGTATGTGCTTCGACGGGACAAAAAATAGGTTAATTGTTGGATTTTACAACAAAGACACCCTATTAGTAATTGAATTTGCTTAAGATAGATATTTATTGGCTATAGATGCGAAATAATTATCAATGTTGTTTAGAACTAGGTTTATATTGATGTTTTCAAGCAACTGAAAAACTCGTGTCATAAAATCAATATGTGAATTATTTAAAATGTTGTTTGCATGTTACATTATATTAGTCTTTCGATGCACATGCGTTAGTCTTAAACGCTGTTTAGAAAATAGAAACGTTAATTAAAAATATATTTTAAACTTTTGTAGAACAATCTTTGTAACCTTCTATAAACAAGATATAATGCCTGTCAGTTATATATAATATGATATGAAATATTTCTAAAATCGTGTCATTTGTTGCAAGCATATTAAACATTAGAACTCTGTAAGGGATATATTTTGAGAAATATTTGAAAATGTTGCAAAACGAGCATTTATTATTCTTAACCGTTCAGGCTTTAAATGAACATGTATCAAATTTCACATGCGCATATTCGGATTTATTTTTTGTGATGAATGTTAGTAAAATGTAATAATCATGATGTTAAAATAGATTGTTATGTAAATATGTTCGCAATGTCGGATTGTGATTTTATCTTCGTTCACGAAAGGAATACAATAGTTTACACATTTTGTCAAATTCACAAATGTTACTAACATGCTATAGACTCAGTTTCTAATTTTTAAATTACAAGAAAAATACTTGTACCTGGTCGTATTTGACAAGAATAATTAGGAGTAATAATCAAGTAATGAATGAAATTATACCATTTTTTCAAGAACAACAATAAATACAATTAACGTATCAACTATGAAAAGTCACGCCTACGTATTATGTAGTTATGTTTTCATTTTTTTTTATAATGAATCGTTATACGCTCGTTTTACAGTCCAAACAAACTGTGAACTTTCTTGAAATAATAAATCATAAAAAGAGCCGTGATCGAGAATCAAATTCAGATCACCGCTGAACTGGCAACAGTGATATCCACTGTGCCATGGAGGCATTTCATTTGAAAAATGACATAAAGGTGTATTAAACACGCTTATTTAAATATCTTCTTGATTTCAAGTGACGAATTAATCAAACACGAATCTCTATATATCAAATATGTTTACATTCTTTTTGTATAGTTAAATATTTTGAGCTTCAATACAATATATGTCAAAAACATTTTTTTAAACAAAATAGTTTAAGAAAACGGATTTCTCTGATAGAGTGGCAATATTTTTTTTTCGGAACAGCTTTTAAGTGACCTTCAAATTGAACTAGGACGGTGGTTAAAGTGAAAACAAACAAGAGTTTTATCATTGACATTAATCGCTCACCTATATGCCATAGAAAATTTTATAATTTCTTTGATGTAGAAGCAGATGAATAGTTCACATTCAAGGCCACCGAGACTTACAAGCAGTTAAAATTTGAACATTGAAACCTTAGACAATAGGCACTTGAAGCAATGAAAGAGTTTCTCTACGCAATACATTTGTCAAATATCAAAGGTCTTGGCCTTGTATATTCAAAGTAAGGAGAACCGTGAACGTGTATCTTTTCAATGTCACAATTTAGTAGTGCAGTGTGCAATATTTTTTTTTACCGCAGGGGCATGATTTTTTTTATTTCTGTAGAGGCCCACTAGACAATGCTACATGTTTAATTTGGAAATAAAGTTAACATGCTTACCATTTAAAGGATCAATTTTTGCGTCTGAAATACAAAAAACAAAACAACATCTGACTTTATTTCCAAGGTTATTGACAAAATGGTATGACTATTTATGTATGTAATTGAAACTGATGTTTTGCTGGTGAAATAAATTCTTTATTATGTACATTTTTGTATATTTTGTTTTATAAATATTTTCAATTTGGTATACACGTGTGTTATCAAAGCAGAATACTATTAAGATGAGAATGTATAACAAGCAACCCGAATTCATTCAATTTGCTACTTCTTCTTACTTTTCCCTTTCAAATACTGTATTGACGTCAAGAACAAGAAGCGAGAAAAAGTATAATTAAATGGAAAAAAATGGACGACATTGGACAGGCAATAAAATCATTCCTCATTGAACTCATTAAATTTGGTTACACCATTGTACATGTTTTTTATAAAGATGTACGAAATGGTTATGCAACTTTACACATGATGGAAATTGTTCATGTCAGACAAACTAACAATTGTGCGCAAGATGTCATTGCCAATTTTGCTCCTCAAAATACATTTCATTCACTGAAAGTACATGTTACCCCATCGTACTCAACACCCAAAACAACGTTTTCGACCTTCCGGCCTAAACAGAGAGGGCTACAAAGTAACCAATAACAGAACAGAATTCTCACTTACCAGATAGAAAAATCCGTAAATGTTACTAAAAATAACGGTGTTTGAAAATCTTATCTCACACGGGCTTATCTCACACTCAACGTGCAGCACTTCTTAAAACGTATTCCTACACATAACCGATTCACTACTATTTTAACAAAAATGAAACGTCAAAAGGTCAAAAGTATTAAAATATGTGAGCTAATCTATTAAATTGTCAACGGAATCAAAATAGATTGATATTAACTTTCACACTGCAATGAGTCCTCCTCTACCTAGGTCCGCCCTTTTCAACAGTATGTTACTAAAAAATCACACTTTAAAATATCGCAAAATTCTTCGCAAAATGGGATATCCTGACACTTTGCATTAAAAACACCCATGTTTTCTGTTCTGATAACGATGCTTCTTGATGATAGAGTCTCATTTTGATATATTTTAATTGAATTTTCGGCCAAAATAACCGAAAAGGTAGCAAATTCTTTGCAAAGTTTAACGTTAAACGCTTTTTGGCATCCATTAAAGTATGGACTGAATTCGTTATAAACACTTATATGATGACACTTTCCGACTTTAATAATATTGATGTGTTTTATCATGATATTCTTGCTTTTTGATAAGGGATCTCATATAAATTTATTTTAATTGAATTTTTCAAATATAGAATAGAATTTGCGGTCGTACATATTGCATAGAAAGTCGGGCGCCTAAGCACCGCCCCGCTTTTCAAAACTAGGTACGTTGTAATACGCGTAGCAAGTAGTTTCACTGATATTAATATTTTGTTTCTTGTGTGTTTAGGTGAGTGAGAAAAATAATCAATCATTAAGTTAGATAGAGGATAGGGAAATCCCAACCCTCTGGCAATATGTTCCATCGGGAACTCGCCATTGCTCGTTCCCGATGGAACCGATCACCCTCGGGTTGGGATTTCCCTATGCTCTATCTAACCCAATAATAGATTCTATTAGTTTTTATACACGTGTTCCGTGAAGCCTAGTTTTACATATAAATTTAACGCTAACTGTATGCCTACCTCAATTTAACCATTTTTACCGAGCGTCTAGGGCGCCATTTTATGAGCCCATTGTACGATTTTGGTCAAATGATGATCAGCAGTGCAGCTTACAACAGCTGGTATTGGTTTATTTTATCTGATGGTTTCCTTTCGAAACAAAAGTGAAAAGGCACACGAGAGAAAAGAGCATATGTTGTTTTTGTTTCCTATTTTCTATTACAAGAAATATGAAATTGTGATTAAACAGTTATAATATATGAAACTCGTTAGTTACGGGGGTATAACACTGGCTGGGATGACATCTCGGATGACATCTCGGGATGTTTCTGCAAAACAAATCTTCTCGGCCTTACGACCTCGACATTTTTAAACAATAACACCCCTCGATGTCACCCCTACGAGAGTTATATTCTCGTTTCATATTATAACTAGTACATGTACATAACAAACAGGAGACAGGGAAGCTTAACTAATTTAATACTAGACGTAGTAAGGAAGACAAAACTACGACAAGGTAATATATCCGCATATATCACTCCAAAACCAATTGAAAATAATAATTTTATTACCCTTCCCGTGCCGAGTTAAGACGATTTTAAAATAAATCATACTACTTCAAATGAAACGTCCCTTTAGGAAACCCCTTCACCATAACATGACGTCACATAAATACATGACGTATTTTCTTTCGAACATAACGGATGTAAACAAGGGAAAAGGAGTAGTCTGCTGAACGTACTTTTTTGGAATTAATATCAAGCTTTCACAAGGTCATGTTTGTTTCCTATACTGACGAGAATATGTATCATTACTCTATTTTGGTAAATATTTATCATTTGACAGTTTAAAAGTGCTTGTAAATCGGAATTTATATCGCGTAAAATCAAACCGTACGCGCATCGCACGGCGCATGTTGTTTACAACGTGGGGTACCCATCGGGGAAATTTAATGTGTATATTACCCGTCTGGCTCGGTAATATCAATTTCTTTCGGGTGATCAATATCCAATCAAAAATGCGGAAAAAATTTGGAAGGGTTATAATATATGTTATTTTGGTTTTGGAGTGATATATGTGGATATATTACCTGTCAAGAATTTATCTTGGCAGGTAATATATCCACATTTATCACGCTAAAACCAAAATAATAAATTTATTACCCTTCCCCTGCCGAGTTTAGATGATTTTGAAATAAATCATTACTACTTCAAATGAAACGTCGAAATAAGATTCCCTTTAGGGTACCCCTTCATCGCTTCATGACGTCACATAAATACATGACGTATTTTCTTTCGGACCTAACGAATGTAAACAAGAGAATAGGAGTAGTCTAGGTCATATTTGTTTTCAATACTGATGAGAATATGTATGATTACTCTATTTTTGTAAATATTTATCATTTGACAGTTAAAAAGTGCTTGTAAATCGGAATTTATATTGCGTAAAATCAAACCGCACGCGCATCGCCACAGCGCATGTTTTTTAGAACGTGAGGTACCCAACGGGGAAATTTAGTGTGTATATTACCCGTCTGGCTCGGTAATATCAATTTCTTTCGGGTGATCAATATCCAATCAAAAAGGCGGAAAAAATCTGGAAGGGTAATAAATAAATATATTTCTTCTTATGACAAGAAGTTAAATTTGTTAACATACATTCCAAGTTCAAGGGGAAATAATTCTAGAACTTGTCACACTAGAGTCATAGACCTTGTCACACAACATGCGTGTAATGATAAGAAATGTATATTGGAAGTTTGAAGTAGATACCTTAAAAAGTAAAGAAGTTATAATATGTTTTAAAGAAAAGTTCAAAGGGAGATAAATCTGAAAATATTGCTTCAAGAGTTATGAACCTTGTCACATAAGATGTGGTAGATGATGAGGAATGTGTATTTGAAGTTTGAGGTAGACACCTTTAAAACAAAAGAAGTTATAGTAAAAAATAATATTTTTCAAGAAAAAATCTAAGTTAAAGAGGAAATAATTTGTGTAATATTGGTGCTAGAGTTATGAACCTTGTCTCATTAGATGTGGTTAATGATAAGGAACATATGAAATAGAAATAAAGAAGAAACAGTATATAAATAACACATGTATTTGTGGGTAACAGTAAAAATATCATCCCGAGGAAAGCCGAGGGTAACAGTATTTGTACGAGGGATGATATTTTTACTGTTACCCACAAATACATGTGTTATTTATTTTATTACCCCGAACAAATACTGTGATGATCGGAATTTGTCAACTAAATCTAACTGTAACAGAAATAAACCAAGAGAAGCAATAACAAAACTGTCCTTACCTTGCAAGTTTTAAGTGTACTGTACGCCTACTTGAGAAGTTGTTTTTCTTTTATTCTTTAGGCAAGTGATGATATCTACCAGTCATACACATAAAATAAGCTGTGTTTTATTCAGAAAACAAAACACTAACCCATTTATAAGGTTATGATCTGTGAAATCTGATCCTTCTGCATCCAGAATATTCTTCGCATGGTTTTTGACAGAGTGCATTTAGAAAATAACGATGATATCCTACAGGATCCGGTTGTTCAAAACATTGGTTAGTGTTAACCAGTGGTTAAATTCATTATCCACCGGTTAACTTTTGTCTGTTGGATAAATTCTGTTGCTCAAAACTTATCCAATGGATAAAATGCGTTATCAAGCGGTTAACTTTAACCAGTCGTATGACCACCGGATAATGCCCTTAACCAGTGGTTAGTCATCATCATTAAAACAGTAAAAATCATTAAAACTTGTTTAAAACAAGATTTTTGTTGCAAAAAATATGTTTATTTTTCTTAACTATAACATTTCATATAAAATGCATAGGATTAAATTGAAACATTTCTGAAAAAGTGCTTTTAGAACCCTTTTTCAATCTAAATTTGTTGTTGTTGTAGTTCAGAAAATTCAGTTAAACAGTCATAACTTTCTTATTTTTTAATAAAACATACAAGTGTCAGTACTCATTTTCTTAGTTAGAACATTACTTATCTAATGGAAGTAATTTCAATTCAAAATTTGAAAAAAAGTTGTTTTTGATTTTTTTCTTATGTGATCTAAGGGAAAAATAAATCTATCAATACTTTAAGGCCTCTGATATACTTTTTGTTTAATTCCAAAAACAAGAAAGCACAAAACATGCAAAAATATTTTTTGGGAGCTTTTTGATTCTAATGAATTTATTATATGTAAAAAAATCAGCCATTTTGTTTCCATAATCACTAACCAACCCTGTTGCATTGTGGTACTTAATCAGTGGATAAATACGCTATCCACTGGTTAGATACCAAGTGTACTATCCAACTATTGAACAATGAAATTTTATCCACTGGATAGCTGGCCGCTGGTTAAGGATTTAGCCAGTGGATAAGCTATCCATTGGTTAATTTTAATCAATGTTTTGAACAACCCGGTCCAGATGTCTGTCCATCACCTCTATCTGTAACGTTTCA